AGGAATACCTGAAAAAACTAAACATACCCAAATACCCTTAAAGGCCTCTTGCTTCATGAATGGATGAGGGAGCGTCATTGTATGCAACCTTCCCATTGTATAGTCAAAATTGCTTTTAGATTCAAATCTGCGACCAACTGGTCACACAAGACAACTTTACAGTTGTGCCGACTCACCCTCATAACAGGAATATTAAAATTACAAAAACCACACCTAACATTACAATTGTCATAAATTTTATTCCTAACAGAACTGAGTAAACTTGTTGAAGTGACCACATGTAGTGCTGATAGACGAATTGTGTTAAACGTATAAACAATTGTATCACCAGTTACAACTTACAAACTATGCTGAAAACCTAGAGCTTAAAACTGATACACAGATAACTCCAAAACCAAGAGTAGCACAATGGTATCTCATTTCTTATGACAAAGATTAATTTTCATCAGGAAAAAAAAATCCCTTCAAAGATCAAATTGACTCAGTTAAAAAACTAACTGTCGGAGGTTGTCTGTTCATGTTATCTAAACTCCAGAACAAAGAACCAAAGGCCTAGCTTATTTTTATGTTCTCCTCCACTCCCATTTCATTTCTTCATATTTTTTCCTTAATAAATTCCTCAAACCTCCGCTTCCACCTCGTAATCTATAACACTCTACAAATAATTTCCACGCAGATTCTCCGTTTATTTTCAAAATCACACGCATTAGACAATTCAACACCAGTCAGAAACTCCAATTCCATCATCATTTACAAAAACTATCATTCCGTTGAAATAATTCAAGTTTCAAACAATTCAACTCTTACACAGAGCAAGGCCTTCAATCAAAATCAACGAAAATCAAAGAGATACATTATAATCAAAGCAGAAAAAAAAAATGAAACAAAGAGACGGTACCGTCATCGGCGATGGTCGTAGGCACGCGCAAAGGTGTAGAGAGGAGTCGTCCGGCGACGGCTCCTCCGAATCGGAGCTTGCAGAGTACTGAGGTTTTCTCCGCCCAATTCACGTCCCAAAGTTAATTGCCAAATCAATGACTCAATCAATCTCACGTTAAAGTAATGACCTATTTTTCACGCTAAACACACACAAAACAATCACAAATCACAAATTTATATATATATATATATATATATATATATATATATATATATATATATATATATATTTTTTATTTTTATTTTATTTATAACAAAGGCTTTGTTTTTTTAGCCCAATTCTAACCTTCAGAGATTAACAAACACTGTGCTTACACAATCAGAGATTATGTGTGAATGTAACGAGGAGTCATTGCAAACTTGGATTAGATTCTTATCATGTTAATTAATTAATTAGTTAATTAATTAACTAATTTTCAATTAATTTAAAGTCATTTTCGCGGCCGTTACTGTGAACTGAATCAGCATTACATTCCAACCTGTACACGCAAACTATTCTGACTTTTTCCCCAAAAATCCGCATTTCTTAAGGTAAAAAAAAAATTGCTTTAAAGATTGTATTCAATTAAAATTATAAAAACAATTATGATATTAATTTAAGACTCTTAAATATTGAAATTGTTTATAGTAATTTTTTATAATATACATCCAGAAAAATATTATTAAACTTAAAAAAAAAAATTATGACTAGGGAAGATAACCCAAATTAAGTTAGATGGACCATTCCATCACAAATTTGTGGCATATAAAAGTATTATATTTTATTTATTATACTGTTAGAATATATAAATATATTATAAACCCGAATAATGGTAAAATACATCATAATAATTTAATTTTTTATAATTTATAATTTTTTTATAATCAAGGAAAACTACTCTAACATAGCGTCTCAATCATATCATTAATTCATAATACGTAAATTTTAATTTTATGAATAAAATATTATATTTAAATAATATTTCATATACTTTATTTTTTATTTATGAAAAATAATAATTATAATTATATTAATAATATCATATTGATTTTTTATCTTATTTTAAATTTAATAAAATTATTTACAACTAATGTCAAAATTTAGTTTAATAATTTATTAGGTCTAGTGTTAGAACTTTTATAAAGATGGTATTTCTAAATTTTTATAAATAGAATTATAAGATCCTACAAAGTTAATTTTGTTAGAATTAAGTTTAAAATTTTATTATTATAAAATAAATTTTATTGAGATTTAGAAGTTGTATTTCTACCCTCAATTTTTATAAATATTATATATGATATATTTTTCATTTTACTCTTATTTAAAATATGATATACATAAGAGTTACTCTTCAAACTCTTCTCATCCGATTTTTGCCATGTTTTTTCCAATATTATAAATTAAATGGTAAGAATAAAAATGGAGATGATGTGAAATATGTTTATATATTAGTGTGTAAAGTTACCTCTAAAGATAAAAACCAATTTATTTTTATCTTTTATTATTTATAGTTTTATCTTTCTAACCATATTTTTCTACAAATATATTTTTTCTTTATTTTTTCTAACCACCCAACTTATTTTATATTTTATAAAAATAATTTTATCTTATTATTTAAGTCTAATTATTAATTTAATTAAACTAAATAAATAATTATATCACATTTTTTATTATTTAAAAAAAAAAGATGTCACGCTTCAACTTACCCCTTTGATAAGACCATTGACATGGACTAACAGTTTTGCCATTTTTTAAAATAATAAAAAATTTAAAAATATAATGATTTTAAAAATATTATATGATATTTATATTGATAATGTCATTTAATATTTTTAATTTATATTTTAAAAATTTATTTTGATATTATAATTATAAATAATAATAAGAAAAATAATTAAAAATATTTATTTATTTTAATTCAAATAATTCAATTTTTATTTTCTTTTTTTTTATTCTTTCGAATTTATATCAATTTATACACGAAATAGCAAAATCTAAGTAATATGAAATTTTAAAAATTTATATAATCCAGTATTTAAATCATACGAATATATATGGATTGAAATTAATAAATTTTCTATTATTTTTATTTACATGTATAAATACAAATTTTATAAAATATTTTTCTTAATTGTGTTTGATTTCTTATGCATTTAGGTAATTGTTTTGTGTTATTTGATTATTATTTTCTATTCAATTTCTGAATTATTTATTATATATAACTATTTAATCAATTAAAAATATTTGATAATATATCGTTGGATATTTGTGAGGATTAAAACAAATATTATCTTAAATGAGATATGAGATATTATAAGTAATTTTGATGTATAAATTATTATTTTTTATTTAATATAAAATTTCTACTAACTGACTCTTTTATGTATATAAAAGGTAAATTTTATAAAGTGGTATCATTAACAGAAGTTTTTTTTTTTAATATGTTTGTGATTTCTCAATTTGATATAATGATTTTTTCAGTTTTTCTGAAAAAGTGGTGTCACAGGCTTACTTGCACTAATTCTAAGCTGTATCCAGTGCTGAGTATTTGTGTTCTGTAGAGTTGTTTATAAGATTTACCAGTTTTTGGGTTCTGGAGAGTTGTTATATGATGATTAAAAATAAATAAATTATGGTAAATCAAAAGCATATCCGAAGAGATATTAATAAAAGTTATTTAAGAGTTATTAATAAGAGATGATTAAAAATAAAAGTAAATATTTTATTAAGAATTTATATATGAATGTTTTAAAAGTGAAGAAAGTTATTTAAAATAAAGAAAATTATTTAAAATTAAAAAAAAGTTGTTTATTTAGATAATTTTGACCAATTTTTAGAAACATCTCTAAAGGAATTGTTACCTATGAATCCCTGTTTGAATTATTTAAAAGTAAAAAAATGATTTAAAATTAGAAACTCTATCTAAGTTTTAAATAATTCATGTATTAGATCTATAATAAAATATTTAATTTTATTCTTAAATTGGTTAAAAAATCTTTTTAAAAATACTTTAAACAACTTATATTTGACATTCATAATAAAATATTTAATTTTATTCCTAATTTAATTTTATTAAGAACTTAAAAATATGCTAAGGGATTTAAAACATATTTGAAATTTTTTTAATATATAAACTTATGCTTCTCCTAGCTATTCCTCTTATTTTCTTTACTATTTTTTATTTTATTTTCTTATACATGTGCCTCGGTTTGATTTAAGACACGTATAGATCTTATATTAATATGTGTAATACTTCTTAACTTTATTTCTAAAAGTGGTCTCCTGGATGATTTATTTATTTATTTTTATATATTGAATCAATACATTCAATCTTCATGTTCAAAATTTGTGTTGATATTGTACTTTTAAATTCAAATCTTATAGTTTATTTTGAAAATTCTCGTAAGTTAATTTTACTTTTGTTGTATATAGTTAATTATTAAGCACATGACGTTTTTAACGCATAGTTCACTATACGTTTAAGGTATTAAAACGTAACTTCAGCAATTATTTGTGTCAATTTTCTACTTAATTTTATTAAAAAGATAACCTTTACTACTTGGTTTCTGTTTGGCCTCCACAATCTTCCATTTTTCAACTTTCTTTTAACTTAAATTTCCATTTGCAATGTGTATTTTCAGACCACGAAATTGGAGAATAAAGATTTAAATGAGGACATTTTGCTTATTTTGTTTTTTAGCTTCAAAGTTCTTGTGTTGTTTCTAAAAGATAGAGAGATTATATTATATATGCAACAAAGATGGATGGATTTTTTTTATAACTGCTTCCTAATTGTATCTTTTTAAGCCTAAATATTCATTAAAAAAAATGTATAGTTGATTAATTAAACAATTTGTTATAGTAATATACTGAGATAACTATTAAGATTAGTACACTTCGCTCGCCAGAGTATAAAATACCTTCAGAGGAGTAACATCCTAATTAAATGATTAGTAATCATAAGTCACATTCGTAATTCATACCAAGTTAATTAAGACCTTGGGTAAAGTGTAAACTGCTCCATGTTAGAGAACTATACATAGCTCTCTAAAAAGGTTTTTCTTGGTCTGGTTGAACTTAATTAGTTAAGGTAACTCTTGAACTTGGTTGAAGATATTTGAGCTCGTCTTTCTTCAACAAAAACTACCCACAAGATCACAGAGCACATAACTGCAGCTGAAACCAAGACCAAGCCAATGAAAGTCTGGTGGGTGTATCGCTTGAACGATGGGCAATCATCCTTGTTGATTTGATCAAAAGTGTCAATAACAAAAGAACAATCTACTAATCGAGCTAAGAGTGGACCATGTCGATGCAACGAGTCACTTAAGTTGTTAGCCACCATAATCTTTGAGTACAGGGAAGGAGTTAATCTCCCCATTGTGATGCACAAACCAGATGGGGATGTATTGCATATAAAACTTTGATATGCCTGTCCATTGATGAAAAACCATGACAGTTATATATTTTTTTATAAGCCTTGCATGATGGTTTAACAAAAACTTTTGCAGGGTGAAAAATGAAGTGATAAACTTACTGTTGGTGCACCCCTTAAGCTTATTTCGTCTGCATCACATGGCCTTTCAGTCAAGTTAGGGAAAAATGGATTGCAGAGGAGGGGCAAATGTGGACCAGATTGATTGTAGTATATGTCCTTATCAGCCTTCATAGGAGGCAAATCAGCATTGGCTACCTTTTCTACAAATGCATTAACCAAATCTACCACTTGGAATGAGGTGTTTTTGCTTATGTCCAAGGTTTTTTGGGTTGTGGCCTCATCCATGCAAGGAAGAAGTCTACTTAGAGCTGATTCACTTCGAGGGTGTTGAACCCATTCATCCATTGCAACACATGTGTCAGCTACCCCACTGGAAGGTGAAATGGAAAATGAAGAAACAAATCAACTACACTGATGAAGATTTGTAGAGTTTTAGTTTAATGTTTGAACCTGTGAAGGTGATTTGTGTAATCTACTAATGACCTTTTGATGAGTGCACAATTTTAACCTTAGTTCTTTTCAATTAGTAGCACAAAATATTTCCAAAACATTTGGAGTGAATAGGGTTCCTATGGCCTATACTTGGACCAAATTCCTGATAAAGCATGGTTGGGGGAATTTGATGGAACTTACTTATGAACAACTAAACATAGGCTGCTCAACAAAAGAGTGATTGTGACAAGGATCCACCCAAAGAAAAGCAAGCTGCAGTAATATAGTTGGAAAGAATTAGAAAAATCATAAGAGGAAACAGAGTACTAGGAGGGCAATTGAAAACCCACAAAATTCACCTACATAAAAACGATCACTTTCCAGCCAAAAAATGAGATCACTGCAATGAATAATTTAAACAATATATAATGAGCCAAATGCATCTTTTGTTCAAAGGAAATAAACAATTAGGACTTTATATACTTACTGAAGCCAACAGCTGCCAACAGAAGCAGCATGGTGCCAACAATGATCAGACTCTCACTTCTGGATTTCACAAACATTGGTTTATTAAGGTGAATCCAATTACTTAATCCAAGCTTCACAAGAAAAAAAAATAAAAATGCTAGCAGCATACTTAATTATTTATTAAAAAATGAAACCCAGAAAAATTTATAATTTGGATGAATTATAACGAATAGTAGAGAATGTATTGCTAGCATTCTTCAACAAATAAACTAGGACTCACTCACATAGCTTTCAGGAATTCCATGGAGATTCTTGCAGTTTCCTCTGCTTGGCTCTGAATCACATCAGTTTTATAGGAGAATCTTTCAGCCACTTCAATGCCGTTCTTCATATCACTTGGAAGAGTAAAACTAGCTACTTGTAAGTTCTTAGCCGCTGCAAGATTGGTTATTACATTTTGAACAATATCAACTACTGTATTTGCTCTTGTGACCAGAATATCTGATACATCATTTGCATTAGTCTCAAATGTCTCCAGTCCAGTGTAAAGGAAAATCGCTCCAATTCTGCAATGTGGAAGTGAACACTAACATGGATTCAAGCATGTTTTTCTAGAAAAATGTGAAGGGATAAAAGGGACCTACATTGCCATGATCAAGAAGAGCACGATTAAGATGAGTGATACTACATAAATCGTTGGAGAGTAATCAGTCCTAGGCTTTTTCTTGCAGCAGCCACAGCAATGCAAAAAAGCTATGAGGGTGAAGGATATTGCCACAAGGAAACACCAGGCGACAGCAATGGCAACCGGAGGCATACCAGAAAAAGCAAGAGACTAAACTCCAACCAATTTGTATGAAGAGAATTAGAAGATACATTGAGCTTTATCATGGATAAAAGAAAGTAAGCAAAATATGCAAAATTTCCAATGTGAGAGGTAGAATATCCATGTAGTTATGAATATTATTAATATATTATCCTTACCATGATTTTATATAATAAAAAAAGAACATTTTGTTCGTTGATTCCTTATCTGAGATTGTTAAAGTACTTGTTAGGAAGATGCTTAATATTACAGGTAAAAACGATTAGTGTGTGGGAAAAATAAGAATGCATGTAGGTAGAAAAACAAGAGGCTCACACCATATAATAATGTGTATTGGTAATATCCCATCCACCATCGTAGTAATTGAAATCATCACTAGGGTCAATTCTGTGTGTTCTTGATGCTGCTAATGGTACTATCGAGTTATTGGCAGGTGCAGAATTTCCCTTCTGGGATCCTGTGATAAACAAACCATAACCCTCATTGAAAAACAGCTAGGAAAATGTAATGAAAACCCTTTTTACAGGACAAAAAACAACATTAAATGTGATTTTAATGTTAGAAAAAGTGAACCTTCTGCATGGCATGGAGAGAACAAGGTACAGGAAACAACAAGAAGAATTGAAATGAGCAGAGTTGGAATGAGACGAATCATAGTGTTAATTTCAAAATTATGGCCAATTAACGTGATGTATAGCTTCCCAATCACAATATAGGTGGTGCAATTGTGATTGGGATGCTCATATGTGAATATGAACTTTAATTAAATATGTTTTGTTTATGACAATATTGGGCTATGTATTCAAATGATTCATGCACGAGTTAAAAGATGTTTGTTTCCCAACAGGGAAAAAGGGATATTGTGTTGAGGGAAACTGGAGAAAGAAAACTAAGATAAAAACCGTTTGCAAAACAACAAAAACTATATTTAGATATCATGGTATCTACAAAATTTGCTAACGTTTTAATTTAGTAAACGACAATCCAATCCACAAGACACAGTTTTTTGGTTACCATATATGGTTCCAAATCTAATCTTACTGCTGCTTAACATGAGAGGTACAACCATATGACTTAAATAGAAAAAGGTCAAATTTATTTGGTAGATTCTCTTGATTTCAGTATAACTGGAGCTTATCTTTAATCCCCTAAATTCTCTCTAACATAGAATTTATCCTCAGAACATTTTAATAAAATTCCCCATTTAATAAAATTCCGTATTCTCTTAGTTTCTAAACACATTTGTCATTAAAGGATAAAATGGAATAAAAGTTTTGATATTGCATTAAAAACTAAAAAACCCAATCAATAACCCAAAAAAAAAAAAATGTTAAAGAACATTGGATATAAAATAGGGAAATCTGTGTTATCCCTCTGACCCTTTTTCACTAACAAAGTTTGGGAAGATTTATATTTTTATTTATTTGTTATTTTTAAAAGTTTAAAATCACATTAATTACTTTCTTTTATCAATTTTTAAAAACAAATTATATAATAAAATAAAATAAAATAAAAACGTAATAACTCTTTTACTGGAATAATTTTACATCAAAATAATTAAACATGAATAAAGTATGTAACAAAAATACATTATTTTGAATTTATGTGCACTTTAAATTTTACACGTGGTACATTAGTCACGAAAAATACGTGAAGAATATTAGAGGCGCATGCATAGATGTTGGAAAAGAATGTAAATTAATCGGCTTTGCAATGATTAATTAGAAGCACCAAACTTAACCACCCAAGCATGGTTCACATCACAATTAGAGTGAAAGAACCATGTTAAACTTAATATAATACGTGTTATTTATAAGGAAAATAATATTTTAAAACCTAAATCCAACTTTTATAAACAACTCTCTTTTAATATTATAATAATAATTTTATTAAATCATTCTATAAATTATTATATTCTATAGATTATTATATTAATAAAATTGACTTATTTAAAAAGTTATATAATTTTTGATTGTAAAAATATCACCATTATGTTCTATATTTATTCTATATTCTTAATATGTAAAAGTTCATTAATAAAGAGAAACCAACAACAACTTTTAGTATGTTTAATTTTATGTTAAAAAGTGATTTTTAATATTATTTATTATTAGAATCGACATAAACATAAAAAGTACTTTTATAATATAACTAACATAAAAAAATATTTATTTAAAAATATCAATACAATATTTATACGTCAATTCAACAAATATTCGTAGACCTTATATGAGAGAAAAAAATAATAATAATAATAATAATGTAAATGGACATAATTACTTGGAAGTGTCACCAAAAGAGTAATTACAAGTATAGACAGAGCAAAAGGCTTTCAAGGTCATCAAGAGCAAGAGGAAGATGGTGGCAAGGAACGTAAGAATCTGCCATGAACTATACACGTTTGACTTCATGAACTTCACAACTTTAACCTTCAATCTACAGTTATAATACTTGTTAACATCTTCAATAACCTTATCCAGCAATGGTTCCCTTGACAATCTCAAAGACTTGCTCATCCCATTCCACAGATTAGCCACTTCTTTATCACTCTTTAAATGGTTCTGAATGATCCCTTTTTCTCTGAGAATCCTTGCATCTTCCTCCGAGTCTATAATCCCGTTCATCAACTCGGTGAAACGGGTTAGAACCAAGGGCCCCGATGCAACTGATGCTTCGTATGCAACCAAATTTTTCAGGAAAACTTTAGTATTAACGTCCAAACAAACTGTGGGAAGGTAAAACGTGCATGTTTTTGCGTCAAAACTGATGTTTGATATGCTCTTGGTGGGTAAGAAACGAACACCAGAATTCAAGAGTTCTGTGACTGAAGGAATAGTGATTTCCTCCATCATGGGTGTCTTGTTCATGAGACTATTCGAGCATCTTGAACTCACGCTTTCTCCTTCATTTTGAGAGAAAAATAAGTACTCAAAAGGGGTTGTTTCAGAACTTTAGCTCCTGGAATATTGATTATGATTTTCCATGGTAACTTAACAAAGACTTTCATAGGTCTAGATACAAGTATCTTTTTTATTACATTTACTGGCCTTTTGTTTAATTTTGAAAACAGCTTCCACAGTTCTCCAAAGAGTTTCTTGACTTGGCTGAATTCAATGTGTGATTCTTCATTTCCTTCCTTTTCTTCTTCTCCTAGTTGAAGCTCAACTTCAATTGTATCTTGTCTTTCTATCATATGGGGGACAATCATGTGATATTAGAAATCTAGCAGATGTGCACTCTTCGAGACTTGAATGTTTGGATATTCTTCCATCATCTTGAAAGGAGAAATCTCTTTGAACAAACCTATAATCTTCGAGACAACATGTCATCTGCCGCTTCTAGCGATGAGAATTTGAGCTCCAACATCTTTCTCAACACAAATAATGGTATTTGATTCTCAAGCATTACAATATCCCTCAAAATTGCATTGTGAGATGATTTCCTCCTAGGCACTATTGTTCCATCTTGGAGGAACTCAAGCAAGAATGAGGCATCAATTGCCATCATCCAAACCAATGTGTCCCCGTTGAAATCCAAGAACTTGTGGTGGCATGCTCGAATCCGTGGCTCCAACTTGGACAATTGGTCAACAAGATTGTCTAAGTTGAGGCTTTGTAATTGTTTGTGGAATCTTTTTGCTGCTGCAAGCTTGTGTCTCTGCATCTCATACAGTTCTGGACGCCAATAATGGTAAGGACCAAGAGCAACTTGTTGAGGAATATACGAGTCTGGTTCACAAACCCTAAGAAGCTTTGGGACGCTGAAGATGGATACAGGGAATTCACCATCTTCACCAAGCTCTTCTTCAAGGGTTCTACGGATTTGGATGACCCAGCGAAGCTCATCAAAGTTAGACTTAGTGTCAAGAGACATAACTGATTTCAGAGAAGACATGTATGATATCAATGCAAAATCTAAAACTGTATTTTATGAGGTTCTGGAATTTGTAAGTATTTATTAAGGAGGAGTTTGGACATGATGAAATGAAGCTTACTTTGTTTGTAAATCCTATGAACATCTAAGAACCATGTGAATTATTATATTCGATCAATCTTATGTTTCACTAATTCCTCCCCTCAAATGAATGTTTTTCTCGTGCTTAATTTTCAAAGTCATTTCCCTTACCAGCAAGTTGGCACTACCAGTGATCTATGAAATTTTAAGTCGCTTTAACTTGTAAACGTGGATCTCTTGAGTTTTACTTAGTTTGATTGCATACCCTACATTTTTTGACAATATTATAATACACAGTGTGCCCAATGAATGAGAAAAACGAGCAAAGTAAGAACAATATTCTCTTCATTAAGAATGCTACAGTACTTGGAATTAAGGAAGAAAAGATGAAGTTTAATTTTGCATGTTGAGCCCTTACTTACGTTTAAATAGTTTTATTAATTGAAAGATTTCTTTGACCATAAGAAAACTTAAAATATGTAACCTCCCACTTGCTTCTAAATAATGTATATTAAAAAGTTGGCTTCTTTCCATAATTCTTGTAATTAAAGTGTCCATTTCATGACATAACCATGATGAGCAATCCAACTTTCATTAAAAAAAAAAAAAAAATTTATAGAACATTTCAAATATACCTTTTTTCCTTAGCTTTTGGGCTAAAACTTTTATAAGGGTAGGATTTAGTTTTAAATAATGGTAAAATATTGACAAGTAACCACTTTTTGGCTTGGAAAATTAATAGTATAATTGGCTGAACAAATTAGGATGTTTCATTGGAAGAGTGTTGATTTGCTACTTGAAGGATGATACCTCACAACCATGATGAAATATTCTATTTCTTAATTTTCTGTTGGACTTTCTTTATTATTATAAGTTGTTAAACTCAACTCTTCATTCTTTGATATTATCCAACGTTGTAATGTTTTTTTTCTTTTTTCTTTTGAAAAACGGCTTAGATGATGCAGTTTTTTTATTAATGCGATGATGTGGGAGATTGATACAAAATAGTTGGTGGTTGTAATAGCAATTAAAATATAAAAAAGTCTAAATAAAGTAAAGATAAAATAAAGATTTCTTTTTATTATTGTTATAAATTATGTTTAACAAGACAATATGCTATCAGTTCAGCTCTAATTATTAATGTCTGAGCGAAATTTAATTGATAACAATATGATTTTAATTCAATTGGACATTATTAATCATGTTCATGTATTTGGAATAAATTTAACTGACTAGGAATAACTAACAAATTATTCATTAGTATTAGATCATTATTAATTGTTGCTTACGCATTAATTAGTACTGTATGATATATTTAATTTAGGAAATGATGAACTTTGGAGTGTGAAGAATATTGTTTCATTGAAAACGACATAACTAAATTACTCAAACATTTGGCTCGTGGTTGGTCAACTTTATTAAACAGACCAAGTTGTTATTACAATGAATTTGAGAAACAAAGAAAATAAACATAAAAGAGATAATTAACTTTAAATATTGAAACAAGACTGATCATCTTATCATCCCCAGAATAAGATCAAGCAGTGACCAACTCACATCACATTGTGTGAATTTGAGTTTTACCTGACAGACAAGGCTCCATTATTAATACTTGAATCATGACACATCAGTTAACCACTGGAATTTAGTGCAGATCGTAAAAAACGATTGCAAGTGTAGACAGAGCAGAAAGATTGCAAAGCCATCAAGAGCAAGAGGCATATGGCAGCAAGGAATGTCAAAAACTGCCAAGAACTAAACACGTAAGCCTTCATGAACTTCCAAATTTTTACCTTCATTCTACCATTGTGATACTTGTTCACATCCTCAATCACTTTGTCCAATTCTGGGACCCTTGACAGTCTCAAGGACTTGTTCATTCCATTCCACAGGTTAGCCACCTCTTTATCACTTTTCAAGTGGTTAAGAATGATCCCTTTTTCTCTCAGAATCTTTGCATCTTCCTCCGTGTCTATAATTCCGTTCATCAACTCAGTGTAACGGGTTATAACCAATGGCCCTGATGCAACTGATGCTTCATATGCAACCAAGTTTCTGAGGAAAACTTCAGTGTTAACGTCCAAAGCAATTGTGGGAAGGTAAAACGTGCGTGTTTTGGGGTCAAAACTGATGTTTGATATGCTTCCCTTAGTAGGTGCAAAATGAACACCACAACTGAAGAGGTCTGTAACAGAAGGAATAGTGATTTCCTCTACTGAGGGTGGCTTGTTCATGAAACTATTGGAGCTTGGACTCGCACTTTCTCCCTTTTCATCTCCTTTTTCTTGAGAGGAGATGAAATATTCAACAGGTTTCTTCAGAAGCTTAAGTCCTGGAAGGTTGGACGCGATTTTCCAAGGCAATTGTGAAAAGACTTTGAGAGGTCTAGATACAGTTACCTTTTGAATTAATTTTACTGGCCCTTTGTGTAACTTTGAAAGAAGATTCCATATTTCACTGAATAATTGCTTAACATGGCTGGAGTCTGAGGTTCCTTCTTCATTCCCTTCCTTTTGTTCTTCTTGTTGAACCTCGGCTTCGGTCGTGTCTGGTTGTTGTTCTAATTTTGGCACTATCACATCATACAAGAAATCTAGCAGATGCAAACTCTCCGAGACCTGAATGTTCGGATACTCCTCCATCATCTTGAAAGGAGAAATCTCTTTGAACAGCCCTATAAACATCAAGCTCAGCATGTCATCAGCAGCTTCAAGCGATGAGAATTTGAACTCCAGCATCTTTCTCAACACAAACAATGGGATTTGATTCTCAAGCATTACAAAGTCCCTCAAAATTGCATTATGAGCTGATTTCTTCCCAGCATAATCCACCAAATGGGACATGCTGGAAGAAACCCTCTGCACCTTTTCTCCCTCCTGCATGGCAAAAACTTGAAGGAACTCAAGCAAGAATGAGGCATCAACTGTCATCATCCACACCAATGTTTCCCCGTTGAAATCCAAGAACTTGTGGTAGCATGCTCGAACCCTCTCCTCCAACTTGGTCAATTGGTCTACAAGAGTCTCCAACTTGCAGCTTTGTAGACGTTTCTGGAATCTTTTTGCTGCTGCAATCTTGTACCTTTGCATCTCAAATAGCTCTGGACGCCAATAGTGGTAAGGACCAATTGCAACCTGTTGAGGGACGTAAGAGTGTGGATCACTTGCCATGAGGAGCTTGGGCACACTGAAGATGGATACAGCAAATTCACCATCTTCCTCAAGCTCTTCTTCAAGGGTTTTGCGGATGTGAATCACCCATCGAAGCTCGTCAAAGGTTGATTTAGAATTATCATTTGACATGATGGATATTAGAGAAGACAAGTATGGTACTTTTGGAAAAGCTTAGTGCAGAAAAAAATTATACAGTTTTAAAATCTTTGGTGTTAGTGTCTATAATGAAAGGGGAGTTGGGACTTTATAAGGTGGAGGAATCTTCATTACAACCTACCACCAAATCATACTTGATCCATTTCCATTAAACTATTAGGAATGTGCTACTCATGCATAGTTTATATAGGTTAAACGTATTCATTTTAAGATTGTTTGATTTTGAAGTCTCATCTTAATTAACTGAGAAGTGGGAACATAGGTTAAACGTGTTTCATGTACCATATAATTATTAACATCTAGAAATAATTTCCTGTTAAATTTTCACATTACTTTGTGAAAAAAATGGTCTCTTTAACAAAATTTAATCAATAAAAAATATGTTAAATAATGTGGTGATCTTATTGTTCATGTCAACTTGTCTAAAAGAATATAATAAACTGTCTTTTATATATTTTTTTCATATGCTTATTTATTAATAATGTGTATTAAAAATGATAGGTAGTTTGCAACTTGCAATAATCTTCTTTCTTTTAGCTGGTCAACTTTGAAGAAAAAGAAAAATAGATAAATAGAGAACTAAAAGCATGGTTGCTTTGTAAAAAAAAAAAAAAAAAAGTTCACCCAAGTCTTTTTCTAATATATAAAAATAAAACTCAACTATGCAAAGTGTATTATATAATGGCATTCTCGCACATGTCTTATCTTTTTTTAACATGAATAATTAGTCTTTTATTCGAAAGTAGAATGTGAGAAACTTGCAGCAAAATTGTGCTATTTTGGATTGAATATAAGACAACTTTTAAACTTATGCTTGTAGGAATCATACTTAAATCTCACACACTCAATAGATGTAAATCGGTTTTTTTATTTAACAAATTTATCTGTCGATAAGAATACTTTAATAATTTATTCTGATTTTTTGATAGAGTGAACCACTTTTATTTACTAACAATTCTTTTTTAAATTATTCTAATGAAATAATTTCACAAATAAAATAAAATATGAGTCAATTAATATATATATATATATATATATATATATATATATATAATATTAAATTTTAAGTCATTGACTCATGGGTATTTTAATTTTTGTATTTCGACATGAGTAACTTTTAAGGAGCTAATTTGATCTATATTTCGTTGAGAAATTCATCTTTATTAGACAATATTTGCATCTTTTAATTGGATATTTAACATTAAAGAGCATAAAAATTATGAGAAGATTTTATTAAGTGATTATTCTCCTAAACTGTTCTTTGATTCAGGATTTGAGGAAGAGAAGAATGTCATGAGCAGCAAAATCCACCCAGCGCCTTATGAGATGCGCCCAGGGATTTGCCAGCGAAAGGATCTCTCAGAACTCATGAATCTGCCCAACGGATTCCTGGAGCGCCCAGTGGATTTTCCTCTCTTCAGACCTAATATCTATTTAAGAAATAAAAGAACAGAAGGGGGGAGATACACACGGACAGGGAGAAAGAAAGAGGAGACCATTCACACATAAAAGAGTCGTGGAAACGCGACTCCACTTGAATCCAACAAGTTTTTCTTGTAATTTCTTCTCCTTCTTCTCTTGTTTTGTAATGGGTTCCTCTATGAGGGGCTAAAACTCTTTGGGTTGGATTACATGTAACTACTTTCAGACTATTTCTCCGTATATTTGATTTTTGTTTGCTACAGTTGTGTTTGATTCTATTCTTAATGCTTTCTTCGGAGTGATTAACCGATTTAAGATCCGAGGTTTTTGATTGTGTTGGAAAATGTTTTCATTAACCGAAACTGGATCAAATGCTTAATAGACAACCTCTCTAGGAATAGAAGTATGTTCGTTAATCACGTTAATCTCAAGATTTGTTCGTAAGGCAGAGTGTTGGTTTCGAACCGTTGAGGAATCACGCTCAAGGCTAACACCCTAGGACTTGGTTTCGAGGAATCGGGCTAAATTACATGCTGAGAGTGAAACTGTAAAAACTGAAGTTATATGGCTGAAAAATAGGGCTGGAAACAAGTGCATGTAATCCGATCTGCATTATTTATAATCACTTTTCGTTATACTAAATATTACGCTTATTTTTAGTTGTTTGTCTCAAATCATACTTTGGATTCATGATGATAACCATATCTTGTCTGCAATATCACTAAGTCACAAATCCCTGTGGACGATAACTCTTTACTACATCGAAATTTGGTATACTTACTATGTAATTTGAATCCATCAGAAAGATTACAATAGTCACCTCATCTCGATTTATCATAATTCACCAGGTTTATTATACATCTTTCACACGACATTAAGGTTCCTCTTCTCTCTCATATACGTATCCAGGGATGGATACGAGAGGGCGATCATGGCCCCGACCCCTCCCTCTTTCAAAATTTATATATATATATATATATATATATTGCATTTATATATTATAAAAAAATTATATCATTTCCAAGGTCCAACCATTCTTCTATGAGTGCGTTTGGTTTCACGTTTGAAGGCTATAGATCCACGTTTACTTGAACAATGAAGTTGTAACTTTTGCGTTGGACCTACTTGCATAAGGATTTTAATGTGTTTCCAAACACACACTAAACTAGTGTATCATTCTCCCGTTTAAATATTTATTATCAAAGTTTACTTCTTTTTTCTTTTTTTGCCCCGTTTAAACTATTTCTCGATCTGTCCCTATTCATATCACCAACCACCACCTACTGCCACCGAAGACAATTCTCGCGGTGGTCGTTCTTTTTCCTTTCTTTCTTCTTTCTCTTCTTCCCCTCTCCATCCCATCCGAGGTGTTCATGGACAATTATGATGGTCCACCTTAACATTTTATCTTTTATTTTCTTCTACCATAAAATTAAAACTGAGATTTTAAATAAATCATAAATTAAATTATATATATATATATATATATATATATATATATATATATATATATATATAGATAGATAGATATTATGATAAGGACACAATTTACTTTATAAATAATATAAAATTAAGAAAATATTTTCTTATCAACGTATTAAATATATCATATTAGAGTAAAAAAAAATTAATTAATAATAACTTTAAAAATTTTCTGCATATGTTCGCCATTTATATATATATATATATATATATATATATATATATATATATATATATATTACAATTGTCTATATTAAAAAAAATCACTTGTGACAAATTTTGTATTAAAAAAATAAAAAGTTAATTAAACCTTTCCATGTTATTTGAGTTATTATCTAATTAAAATTATATTTTCTTATAAATAATTTACATAATAATTAAAATCAAGTAAACTAATAAATATGTTAACTTTTATTAAAAGTTGTTTAGAATTATTCTTATAAACAAAATATAATAATTTAAGATAGATCTTTTGTTATAATTAATTTAATTAATTAATTCTATTATGTGATTAATGTGAAACATAATGATGTGTTTAAATGTAACGTAATAAAATATAAGGACTTATAGATTATTATGAGAAGTTAAAATAAAATAAAGATAAAATAAAATAAAAATTTACGGTAATCAACTTGATGAATGTCGAGTTAATAAGAAGGGGATTAGTGTTTTGTGTATAGTCATAAGATTCTTTTCACATAAAACTATCAGGAAAGTGTGAAAGGAGAAAGAAAGGTAAAGAGATAAATTGAGAAAATGGAGTTGAATGACAAAGAGATTAAATAACAGATTCTCATCAATTAATGTTAGTTTTCTTATTATGATTGATGTATGTTATTATGTTAGTTTTCTATAATGAATTAGGGGCGTAGAAAAACTACAAATTAATTTATTGTGCTATAGTTATTAGATTTATGATTATTTTTTTCAAATTAAGATATATCCTAAATATGAATTTAGGGATTTATCTATCAGATTAGCATGAACCATATTTTATTCCCAAATTTGTTTTTCCTAAAATTAAGTGGATGTACAAGAGTGATTATCAGGTATGACTAGAAATCATATGGATTCTATCCGCGTATGTTTGAATCCTACAAATGACGTGATGTTATTAGATTATGTCACCAACACGATTAATGTTACTATTTTATTATATATAATATATTTTTAATTTGCAATAATGTGTATGTAGAGATGGAAAAACGGGTCAGTCCCGGTTGGCGGTCGCCATAATATGGTGGGGCGGGGCGGGCCGACTTGCTACATGCTTTACCAATAATTTTTTTTATTATGATACAATACAAAGAGTTAGAAAGATAATATATAATATAAAGATTATGAAAAGAAAATTCTAAAAATCTAAGTGTCTTATAAAGAGAATTCATAAAGTTTCATTATCTCACTACTAAGAGAATTAAAAAAGTTTTATAATTACTTAAACTCACATTACGGAAACACTTTCCTTGCACAAACCCCTTTTTCTCTCCTCTCCTCTTACTCATCATCTCCTTCTTGCTTATTTTTCTTCATAAGGTAAAAATCATATATATCTCATACTTTTTTACTCTCTTTTATATTTGTTACTTTCTTAAGGTTTCATTTTTTTCTCTTAGTATTTTTCTCTCTCATGACTCATTTATTATGTTTTTCTATTTGTGCTTTTGTTGAAATCTCTAAGTAAGAAAAAATTATGAAGTTTTTATTTTATTTTATTTTAAACAGGAAATGAATGGTTCAATAAGTAAACCTACTTGTGGTCTTGATGATGTTGTTAATGAAAATAAAATTAAGAATGAGGTTATCTTAATTTAATTGTTCTAAAATATAATTTATTAAAATAATATATTATATTATTAATTTGAAATATATATATATATATATATTGAATTGTTGATAATGATAATTTTATTATTAAATTTATTGAAAGATTTGATTTAAAAATAATAAAATAAAAAAAAATAAAAAATATGACGGACCAGACTGCCACTTTGGCGGGGCGGACCAAGACCTGTTGCCCACCATGACTATAGTGGGCTAGCTCGTCCCACTGCTTTTGGCGGGCCAAAACGGGGTGAGTCGACCCGTTTTGCCATCCTTATGTCTGTGTTTGTTATTACTAAATGAAAAATGTTATGAATGATTAATAACAATTAAATATATTATTTATTTGAAATTAAACATGATAAATTTTGTTAGTCACCAACGTGACCAAAATTTTAAGGTTATTTAATTTCAAATTACTAATGATTTTATTCCAATTACCCATATGAACGTTAAAATTATAAATAATTGATTTATAGGTTAATTAAAGTTCATTATTATAAGACATTTTATGATCATCCAAAAGTTAATTAGTTGTTATTATAATTAATGAATACGAAGATAGATAATTTTGTATGCGTCACTAGTTTTATTTATATACCCACGTGATTATAATTTATGCATATTTTAATTATCATTAATGTTATAAATATGTGTATTAGTAGATTTATCAAAGGAGAACATTAGTATGCATAGAATGGTATTTATGTTTGAATATGTACTTATGTTTAATTTTTATGACTCAAAACATTAATGTTAGACATGTGTTAATTACAGTATGTGTACTTGTATCTTTACATTCGCTTACTTCGTCTTTTTTCGTCTTTAATGAGTTAAATTTTCCTTACTAGAGTGAACATGTCCAATTTCACTTAGGTGTATTGGATTTTGATTTAACTTTCCAAGTTAAAAAATCGGCTGCTATCATTATCACTGATGCTAGTAGCAATGAAGAGAAAACTCATTATAGAGTTTGAGAAAGGTCAAACAAACTTAGTCTTATGTTTATACAAATAAGTATAATAAACAATATTAAGTATGCTCTTCCTAAGACTGAGGACACGAATGAATTTATGAAATTTGTGAAAGAGCACTCCTAAACTGCTGACAAATCCCTCGTTGGGACATTGATGAGTATGTTGACCACCATTAAGTTTGATGGTTCTCGTAGTTTGCATGAACATGTAATTGAGATGACAAATATCGTAACAAGACTCAAGTCTCTCGGAATGACAGTGGAAGAAAATTTATTTTGAACTTGTTACCATCTGAGTATGGTAATTCCAGATGAACTATAACACCATGAAAGACAAATGGAATGTGCATGAATTGCATAATATGTTAGTCCAAGAGGAGACTAGACTCAAGAACCTAGGAACCCACTCTATTCATTATCTGCAAAATCAAGGAGCTGAAAAGAAAGTTGTTAAGAAACATGAAAAAAAGATTATCGAGTCTTCTACTAAAATTTAGAAGAAAAATGACAAATGTCATTTCTACGAGAAGTCTGAATATTTTTAGAATGACTGCTTAAAACGTAAAGCTTTGTTCGAAAAGAAAAGTGAGCATAATGCTTATGTATGTTTTGAATCAAACTTAACTGAAGTTCTCCATAATACTTGGTGGATTGATTCTAGATGTACGACTCATGTTTCTAATGTGATGTAGAGATTCCTTTCAACCCGAACCATAAACCCAAATGAGAAGTTCGTCTTCATGGGGAATAAAGTGAAGGTTTCATGGAAGCTGTCGGGACTTATAGTTTAATCCTTTACAATGGATATCACTTAGACCTTATGGATACTTTTTATGTACCTAATATCACTAGGAATTTAGTTTCTTTGTCTAAGTTTGATGTTGCTGGATACTCTTTTAAGTTTGGAAATGGTTGTTTCAGTTATATAAATGTACTTGTATGATTGAAATTGGTACACTTTATGATGGTTTATATAAATTGAATTTGGATAATTTATATGCTGAAACTCTCATGACGTTGCATCACAATGTTGAAACTAAATGTAGTTTGATGGATGAACGATCTGCTTACTTGTGACATAAGCGTTTGGGACATATTCCTAAGAAAGAATGCAAAAGACTGTCATGTATCGTTATGGATGGATGTATACTTTAAAGACTGTCATGTATTTGTTAAACAGGGTTCCTAGTAAAGTTGTTCAAAAGACTCATTTTGAGTTATGGACAAGTAGGAAACCTAGTTTGAGACACCTACATGTTTGGGGTTATCAGACAGAAGTAAGAATTTATAATCCGAAAGAAAAGAAAAAATCAATGGATATTTTATTGGTTATCCAGAAAAATAAAAATGGTATATGTTTTACTGTCCTACCTATAGTACAAGAGTTTTTGAAATTAGAAATACTCGGTTAATTGAAAATGGTGAAACCAGTGGGAGTGAAACTTCACAAAATATGAAGATTAAGGAAGTTAGAGTACAAGTTTCTGTAACTGGTACATCTTCTTCAAAAGTTATTGTGTTGTAGAACCACACGACAATCAAGAAGAATAACAAATTAATGACTCAAGATTAACAATGA